TTCCCTTAACAGTGCCAGCATATTCTTATAACCTTACATTAGCTTTTCATTACAGTTTTATTTTGCATTAACAGCCTTTCCTGTAACTCCGCAGTGTCAGGGTAATTTCTTTTCTCCTCCTGTGAACTCTTTAATCACCATAACTGAATTTCAGTACAACAAGCTTCCACTTAGCACTTGAAAGCATGAGGCTTTGTGCAAAGAAGTAAACACATAAGAACATCAAGAGATGTACATAACTCTACAGAGAGAAGTAATGACAGAGAGAGAAAACAGGGCGTCTATTCACATACTTATAATACTGTCAGTTTTCTAACCTTAGGTATTTCTTCAGGTTTTGGTAATATCGGTTTTCCATCTTTATCCTAGAAGTAAAAAATATAAATACTGTTGATATCTTTCCATATAAGAAGGGTTATGCTCAGCAGTCACCAGCACAATAAGGTAAGCGACACAGTAACAGGGGCACCCCCACACAGAGGTAATCCTTACAGGGCCTGGTAAGTGGGCAGGAAACCAACTGATATGCCAGTATGATACAAAATGTGCAAAGAGTCTGAAAATACTGTTCATTACTGTATTTTCCTTTGGCAAAATCAAGTATCAATATACAGCAGAAATTAACCCAGTAGTAAAGCATGCTTTGAGTGCGAAAGACAAAACTTTTGCATATGAACTAAAACAGGGTTAAATCCTCGACCTGTAGTTAGAGGGTCTTGAAATCTCTGAGAGAAGGACAACTGCTCCACTCAAAACAAAATGTTAACATTCAGCTCCAGCAAGGCCAGTTATATGATATCTTTGTTAAGATCAATGAGAATAATCATGGCAGAATCTTTTGCTTCTGTAAATTAAATGGAATCGCCCTGAAAATAGATCTCAATGTTTTTATTTTCTTGACTAACCCTGAAAAAATCCACATCATTTCAAGTGACAACATCTCAAGGCTAGATCACAAAAGGATGCCTAAGAGAACTTCTAAAAAGAGAATGTGGAAGCTGGAAAATCTGACATTTTCTGAGGACACCTGATAAATCAAGTTATGCCCTTGAAAGAAGGGAAAGAATCCAGACACACAGAAATGACCAAAAGGGAAAAGCTGTAGACTGAAACCCATTACTGATTATTTTCCCCATATACGTCCCTTATCAATGACCAGAAAGGGGGAAGAAGACAGTCACCTATTTACAGGGCAATAGAATGATTAAAACTTACCAACTCTGGCTTAAACCTGTATTCTGGAGGTATTGTATCATCACGCTCTCCTTGCTTTTTTTCTTTCTTCTCTTTAGCTTTTATCTAAAGACAAAAATACTCAGAGAAATTCACAGGAAGGCTTAAAACACACGTGACTTCACTATCAAGATTATTCTGCCTACAACTCAAAGAAGTACTAGCATCATTTTAAAATATATATATAAATAAAAGATAGTCAAATGTCTCTATTAATATCGAATTTACCTCATAAAAATAATCTTTACTTAAGGATCAATCCAATCCATAAATATGACTATTATTTTAAATTCTAAACCACTGCAGACACTGTTCAGAGTGAGATTTCCTTGGCTAAAATCACCACCTTGACTACTTAAGCCATAGTGCTGAATCTTTTGTCTGCTAAAGCTACTGAAAAGAACTGAAACAGGCAGGCAGGTTAGAGACAAAGTTAAACAAAACTAAACTAAAAATCCAAAATTTACCAAGCCAAGATAGGGCTACCGTTCAAACTTTGGAAAAACACCTGAGGAGACAGGGAGAAAATACCAGAGCCAAATAAGAAAAACAATACAGACTGGTAGGACAAGGAAAACTCCCACCACAAAATAAAAACTCTCTTCAAAGAAAATCAACAGTAAACATGCAACAGAAAAAGCCTGTTACAAACTGTACCCAAATACTTGGGAAAAAACAGAGAAACTAAAGCAAATGTGAAGCAAACTATACATACAAATACATGCATAACATTAAAAGGACAGATGACTATCTTCTATCCTAACTGCAACCTCTTGGTTGTTAATTTCTTGATTTTCTTAATCACATTAGACTGTGATATTTCTTAGGACTTTCATATTTAAGTAACTTCTTTTTTTTAATATTATTATGTTACACAGTTGCATGGTATGTATCAGAAAGACACCATAACGCCATGAGGGGGTTGCAAAAAAATCTTTAAAAGCAAATAAAGTAAAGGCATACCTCTGACACCTCTACAATAGTGCTAAGATCTTCTTCAGGTTCCGGTTCAGGTTCACCAAGAGTATCAAGAAGAGCTTCCATTGCATCATCTTTGATTTCCTGTATTTAAGAAAACATGTAAATCACCTTGTTATTTCCATAAAATGACACAGGCTTTATCTCATATGTATCTTTTATGCTGTATATGATGCTCATGCAAACAGCCAACACCATATGGGTCATTTCTGCTTGGCTTCCCCTGATTTTCTGAACATCAGATTGCAGCATATTGTAAATTCTGTGACCAAACCACCACAGACTCAAAGAAATCAACTAGTCAGAGACAGACTATCCATACCTCTTCGGATTTTGTTTTCTTCTCCTTAGGAGGAGCAGAGCTTTTGACTGAACTTGCTGCTTCTGCTTGAACGATCTCTCCTTCCTTACTTGGTTTCTTTTATACACAGGCCAGATGACAAAGTGAGAGATACAGTTACAGGGAAGTTTGCAAAAAATAAAATAAATAAATAAGGAGAAGAAAAAAGCAAAAGCATCAAGATAACTTTAAAGTAACATATAAAGATAATAATGGCAATACTTTACAGCAATAAAGTTATGTAAAAAATATCAATACCTCTGTCACTGTTTCCTTCCTTTCTTCAGTAGAAGCAGTACTACAGGTAAAATCAGATGATAGGGCATCTGCAAGCTCATCATCTGTCATTGGCTTCTGAGCAAGAAATTGCAAACCAGGTTACAATTACTAGAACTCAAATATCAATGCAGTCAAACTTAGTTTAAAATCTGAGCATGCTCCATGTGTGCTCACATGGCCTCATAAGCACATATTGCTGTTGCAATTTTGAGATGCCATAAGAAATAGTAATAACAAAAAATATTCCCCCCTCATTTGCTGGTGTATTTTTTCTATGTTAAATTTATGAACTGTGAAATTAAACTGGTTTACAGAATGATCTTGTTAATTAAAGAAATTCTGGTAGACTTTGCTAGAGACATATCAAGCTACTCCTGCACAGCTACTGTTTCCCACTTTACCTTTATTATGCCCAAAATATCAACAAGCACTAGACTGAATTGTTTTAGCTTCCATCAGTGACCTAGAAGTTTCCATTTCTTTATTAATTCTGCGTTAAATCCTACACATATTATTCTATATTATTTTGCGTTAAATCCTACTATTTTTAATACTATTCATTTCAACTGCCAGGTCCAGGGCCCCCTCCCACTTCCCGGAAATTTTGATGGCAGAATACTTTTTAATTTTTTCAGGAATCCAATGCTAACATTGACTTATTTTGACCTTGCAAAATTGGAAAAAAAAAAAAAAGTCTTGCCTCAGAACGTTCATCTTTTTTTGGTGGAACTCCATCTTTGCTGTCCACTTTGCTCTAAAAGAGGAATTAGTTTAGGAATTAGCTTTATGGTGAATGGCACAAATGAAACATTAAAAAAAAGGCACAATATACAAATATAAGAAGAAAACATGCATAAATAATTGTTCTGTTCACCTCACTTACCTTCAACAATTTAACATACTCTGGAGGGAGGCTACCTTCCCGCTTACCCAGTTCCTCTAAGTACTTATTAGAAATACCTTCCTGTGAAAATAATGCAGAGATTACTATTTTTGTAATTATTATTTTTGTAAACTTTTGTTTATTGAGCAGCTTGTTGTTTGTAATGTAAGGCTTTCTACAGTGATAGATTTGGAAAGAAAGCATGAGGGCTGGGTAGGTCAGAAAGCCAGGCGTGGAGCTGATCAGACAGTATCATGCACATGCATTTCAACTAGCTTCAACATCTATCGAAACTCTGCATCTCCACAGGCAGCTTCCTTTTGCAGCTATTTAAGTTATTTCAGTGTCTCAGGCCATGGATTTAGATTGAATTTGATACAGAATTTAGATCAAATTTTAACTATTTATAAATTCTGAAGTTTTTGCCACTGGTGGAAGTTTTCACCTTTTGTAAATCTGTTAGAGACCATGCTTACAAGTCAGTGAAAAGAACAGTTAACTTTGACGTCACTATTTCTACAACAATACATAACTACATCATTTCTGTATTACTGCAAACAATGTTAAAATGCAACTGTGTGAACCCTATTTTACTTATTGGCAAACCAAAGTGACAATCACTGGATAAATGTAATAGTGAGGAATTCTACATATATTTTAGAGATGAATCTTCTAAATAGAAGAAAAAAATATATACAGATATAAAATACCGTAACTTCTGGACCAGCGTAAACTGGACCAGCAGGTGCATCTTCTTCAGGTCCACCCAGAGTATCTATTAGGCTATCCAGTGCAGACTCATCCATAGCAGGCTGAAAAAGAAGCAAAGGGTTACAGAAGTTATTATTCTGCGCAAAGAAAATCAAAATCTGAATCATGTGGGGCATTTATAGATAACTCCAGGAAACAAAACTAAAAGCTCATTCTGAGCAAGTCCACTGTTTTCAATCAGGCTTGTTCTAAAACTTCTTCCTCAATGTCATTAACAAAATTACTTCTACTTACATACCAAACTGATATATCTATACTTACACACAAACCTATGCTTACAGAAACATAACTGAAAAGGAAATTTAATTAGCTTTTTGTTGACAGCATTACTAGATGCAGTAAAAAGCGAGTCTAAACAAATCCCAATTAAATAAAACATAAATGGCATGCCCATATTCTGTTAAGTATTCCCTCAGGTATTCCCTTCACCACCATACATAACTAGTATCACCACACACAATTACTCTACAGGAATACTTCAGCAATTGCCACTTCAGTTTCTTTAAACTGCTAAATGGACAAAACTGAAGTGCTGCAGACAGACATTTTCACAAGGGAAGCATTTTTCTGGGGCTCTATTTACCTCAGTGCTCAACTCATCAGCTGCAGTAGCCACACTTGCAGGTGCAGTTGGTGCTGGGGAAGTTGCAACAGCTGCACCACCCGATATGGACTTATGTTCAGACTTAGCCTGGAGAAATAAGAGACAACATTATTATATGACCTTATGTAAAAAATTCCTAAGACGGACTAAATAAAACGGAGATGTTCCAGTCAGGTATGTGTAACCTCTTTCTGCTGTTCTAAGCTTCCACAAAAGCAGATAAAGGCTAGTTCTACCTACTAGTTGAGTGGTCAGAAAGACGGTTAGGCACGATTTGCTGGGTAATACCAAGCCTAAGCTAAAAAGTTCAACTCAGAGGGTGCATGTCTGTATTTCTTTGGACTTAGAAATAGGCTAATAAACCCACAGAGCTTCAAGGAGCAAGGAGTGAGCTCACCATTTACAGGCAATAATATGTAGATGTGTTCTGCTTCCAGCATAATTCTACTGTGAAAAAGAAGCATGTAGTTTTAACACTTTACCTCTTTCTTTTATTTTGACAGTAAAAGAAGTCTGTGATGCAAAGGGATTATGAAGCCCTTTCTGAGCCTCTTTAGAAAGCTTTCACTTACACCTGAGTTGCTTTGAAGCTTGGTAGTTCTCCATACACCATTAATACCAGCAACAGATACACCTCAGATAGACTGAAAATTGACTATTGCTTCAGCGAGTTAGGTGCATGCTAGGAGCAACAAATAATGCAGATTTCTGCATTACTGACATTCTCATTTACTGGTAAAAAGACAGGAGTTGTAATAGGATTGCAGAAATCCTCTATCTCTTATGGCCTTGTTACTCAAACACACATGGAGCAGACGTCCTAAAGGTCCAGACTTGAACTCTGCTACACGTTTTTCCTCCAGCTTTTTATTCTGCACACTTCTCTGAAATGATCCCTCCTCACTCTTTTCCCTAACCTTTCTCCTCCCAGTTTTCTTCAGAGCCTGGCAGCCAGAGACCATGGGCTGCACACTGCAAGCTGCTAGCTTACGTGGCTTTTCATGTTCAGAGCAGACACTGCAATTACAAAACATGACTCAAACACCCCACAGATAAAAGGAGCTCTACTGCAAAAGTGCTCATAATAATTAAAAATATATAAACAAAAATAATTAAAAAATAAGGTCCTATCTGTTCACCTTGCAGTAGTTAAAAAGGCAAAGGAAAAACTGCAAAGAATTAACTATACACAACTAATTGCAAGGAACTTGAGAAAAAGATGGCATGAATGGCAGAGTATCCCCAGATATGCAATACATCGTTACAGGTTTGTAACCAAAATAAGAATCCTAATGTGATTTGTTTGGCTAAGAGCCAGAAGAGTTCATAAAAAAACAGATATGTGATGAAGTCAAAAGGTGGATGCACATCAGGATCAGCAAACAACTGGACTTAATGATCTTATGATTGGTCTCCATGATCTTGAAGGTCTTTTCCAACCATAATGATCCCATGATTCTAGTTACTGCAAAGTACCAACATCAGTTGACCGTGCAGCTTTATCTGCCCTACAGCAGATGCTTACGATTACTAATAATTATTTATGCCATCATAAATAAGCTGGAAATGGTATACTCAGTACGTTTTTTTAAAGTAGTAAGCATACGCTAAGGTTTCTGAAGCCTGAAATTTGGAAGGTGATACACACCTTTAAAAACAGCACAGTTTAAGAGCTTTTCTACATTGTGATTTCTCTGGCCCAACCTGGTTTTACATCTTTCAGCAAAAGAGAGTCTTGATTTAGATCTCCTTTCCCTGCAACAATGTAAGTAATAAAAAGTAATAAAAAATGAATTGCTACTTTTACCTTTGCTAGTTCTATGGAGGTTGGTTGGGAGGGTTGATCAGTTTGACTTGTAGTTTCTTTTCCTGCATTATTGATTTTAGAAGCTGTTGTCACAGAAGGTCCAATTTGTTCTTTTCCCTGTACAAAAGTAAACACATTGCTAGGCATTTCTCGGGATATTGTTTATTCATTTGTTTTTAACAAAAAAGAGAAAGAAGAAAAATAACACAAGAAACCCGAAAAGGCAAATATATATATATAAAACTTACATCACTGCTTTCTTTTTGCTTCCTTTCAGTGGGCTGTTTAGCTTGAGAGTCTGTTGGCTGTTATTAAATAAAAATTTGAGATTGTTTATCCTTAACACCACTCACTGCAATGAAATAGGGTCTAAATACATCTACAAATAAAACATTCAACTTACTGGTAGTCACTACATAGGAAATAATATTCCCTGTCAACTAGGAATTAAGTAAACTCAGGATACATAAAGGAAGGTGCACTTCCTGCCTAGAGCACACACCCTGAAGTGGATAATCCTTTAAGCATTTATCTACATAGGGCTTTAACAGTAAAGGTGAAAGCCAAGGTTGTATCACTGCAGCTGTACTTTCAAAATGAGAGGGTCTTTTAAGGAGCTCTTATATTACTTTATTTTTAGCCAGCTATGCAAACCCCTCCCTCCCTGACACACACATGCAGTTTTAGAGAAGGCAGTAATAATTCATCTTTCAAACTATATTCACAGGAGAAGGCACGGTTCACATTCATCTGGAGAAGTTGGCACATGCACAGCCACAGCTAGAAACTGTGAGGAGCAAAAACCTGTGTACAGTACTTTCTACTGGAAGCTTATCCTTAATGGTATTTTAAATTATGTTTTCAGACAGTCAAAAGTGAAATGGGATTCAAGCTTTCTTATAAACTCTTACACTAAGACTCCCTACCTCCTCCTGTTTAGACTGAAATAACTTCGCTTGCCTGCTTTGAATTTGGAGAGGTTTTTCATTTGCTGGGGAAAGGAGGTTGCTTGCTTTTACTTAAGATAGTTTATTTCCTCTTTAAAAGCTCCCCATATGTTTCTCTGTTTTCTTTGGGCATAAATAAGGAAAAAAAAAAAGTGGTAAAAAGGGGAGGAAAATGAACTTTGATATTCCTTAAAATATATCAATCAATTTAGGTTCCTGATTACTTAAGGAAAAAGTAGATATCTGATACCTGGGCATACTCGGATCAACCATTCAGAAAAATTAAAAAACTTACCCCTACTTCTTCCTACATGCACATAACCTCAGTAAGCAAGAGCTGGATATGAATCTGACGTTCAAGGAGCTGCGAAGCGCCAAGCACCCCAGCTGGGCTCCCACAGCCTGTCTCCACCCGCCAGCTGCTGAGCTCTTCTGCACACACGTGTGGGTGTCTCTGTCCATGCAGCAGGTTCACACCGGTCCGTAGGAGCAGGGCATTCAGCCTGTCCTTTCACAGGCAGACAGAAACCACCAAGGTGCAAGGGAAGTTCCTACCTCGGTTGACTGAGCGGTTTTTCCAGGTTCTGCTTTGGTTGTTGGTGTGGGCTGAAATGTAAGCAGGGTACACACAGAGATTAACATGCTTGGTTTTGTTTAACTGATCGCTTCATTAACACAGGAATATTTTTATATCAGATTCATACTTGTGAGCACGTGCATTACACAACTAATATATAATGCTTTGATTTTTTGGCAGTTTCTAAGACTCTGGTATACAACTCCAAGTGCACACATATATCTCATATGAATATTTAACTACAGGAGTGAAGCAGAGGAGAAGGAGGAATTTAAATGTAATAAACCCCTGAAATAGTGTTTGCAGCAACAGCACAAATATCTATTCCTACAATCTGCCTCAAGTCAAGGCAAAGAAAACATTAAATTAATCCTAACAGAAACAGGTAAGAATAAAGACTGAAAAGCAAAAGGCTCATTATATTTGATACGAAAAGGGAAACATAAAAATGATAGACTCTTCATCTTTTTTTTTTTTTTATTTAACTGTGCTACGATTAACATTAGAAGAGGCAATGTGGCTACTGGAAAGTCATGTGGGGACTCGGAAGGACGGCTGCTGACTAATGCAAGAGCCTCACAAGTCCTGGCTGCAGAGTCCCTGGCAGAAAACACGAACTCAGACTGTAATCTGATCCACCGCTGCTGGAAACAGCACCAAGTGGAAAGACTTTCGAGTTTGATAGACAGAGAGAGAGAGGGAGAGAGAGAGAGGTACATCCACATATCCGCCACGCGCCAGAGCATTCCCGAGCCAGCATCCTCCCTGCACTTCTGCTCATGCCGACCAGGGACTCCAGTGCCACAGTTAGCTGCATGACCCATGCACA